TCCCGGACACACTGCCGCTTGGTCCTCAACCAGCTGAGAGGCTCTCACTCGCGATGCCATGTGATGGCACTGGACATATTTGGTGGACGACCCACCGCTTCTCCGCCTCCTGGCGAACGGCGATGGCTCCTCCATCCCACTTTGTCTTCCATCGTTCCAGCACCACCGCCTCTCATCGATCTCTTCAGCACCGCGACCCCCCTCAGCAGCGAGGGCTCTCTGACAGCGTGTCCCTCCTTCCTCCCGGGTTTCGGCACCAATGTAACAAAGTTCGTAGTTCGGGAAGGAGGAGGCGGGAACCGGCGAACGCTCAAAGAAAACTTTAATAAAATAAACAAATACAAAATAGCGCGACAGACTGTCGCGCACAACCAAAACACAAAACAAAATCCAGGCCTGGTCCTCTCTCGTCTTTCACTCTCGTAGCTCCTCCTTTTATCCTTCCGGAGCTCCTCCGTGTGACTCGAGACCGGTGAGTGGTGCAGGTGTCGCTCGTTATCAATTACTCCACCGGCCTCGCTCCGTTCCCACGGCTCTCGGCCCCGCCCCCACTCTTCACACTATCCCTTTAAGAAAAACAACAAATAGATACCAATGAGAAACTGACATATTTTATGAGAATTTTACTGAGTTCATTCTGAGACCTTGAACATTTGATTGCAGACTTTTTGAAGGATTATTGACATTTCTGTTGAAACTCTAGGAGACGCACCTGGGAATTTTTGCTTCCTCAGGAGAAACATCTGATAAGTTGAAGACTTAGCCAACAGTCTTAATTTGTTTCCCATTTAATGACATTATCTATTAGAAACTGAGATATTAAACAGATCTTATTTGTTTGTGAGTGTGTGTGTGTGTTTTTTAGCCATGCTGTCTTTGAAATGTGGCTCACTAAAATTAAAGTGGGCTCCTCAACTATGAGAAACATCTCGATTGTGGTCAGACACATCACTGGTGGAGCCACATGCAGCATACCTTTGAAATAATGTCGCCATGGTAACCATGAGAAGTGGCAGTAGTACAAATAGGTTCACAGTTAGACTCAATAGAAGACACTTAATATAATATATATAGTTCTGTGCCAAACAAGAACCTGCTTTGTAAAATTAGAGAATTGTTCATGAAAAACCCCTCTAGTGGTTATGTAATATCACCATGTTTTAAACTTGACCAACAGCTGAGTGGGTTGTGCTGTAAATAGCCCACATTACGTTGCCTAATGTTTCCTGGAAATCATGTTCGTATTAGTGTGAATAAGTTCACATTTGTTTCAAATTCTCTGGAAAACAGATAAGTATAAACTATGCAAGCTGCTATTTTTAATACACAATTTATGAATGGTGTCTGACACTGTTGATTAACCACAGAATATAAGTAGATTTACAAGAATGCATTTGCAATGAAAGCCTATAGGGCAAAACACTGCACTAAGATGTACACTAAAATACACTTCTGCTTAAGTTCAGCAACAGTTATTAAACATCATACAAGAGACTAATATGATAAAATAATTTTTCATTTGTGCTTTAAATCCCCTTAGAGTGCCTTGCCCTGTAGACTTCTACTGAAAGCACACTCTATGCCATTTTTGTTTGTACTTGCAAATTGAGCAGTGAGTCAAAATAATGGACAGCTGGTGCAGTTTATATTTTCGGGACTTTCAAACATGAACCATTTTTAATTATTGCAATGTTTTAAGCATTGGAAATGGATAAAATGATGATTGAAAATATTTCAACAGCAGTTAATCAAATTTGAATACACTCTACTTGTGATCAAGGTAAGTGTCGTACAACAGAGTGAAGTAAAAAATATATCACTATGAAACTCATTACAACAACAAACATATAGAAAACATATCCAATTTTGCATAGGTCAAACATTACATTTACATACAATATAGATAGGCCATGACAAAAGGCAGCTCCTCAAAAAAAAAAAAAGCACTTGCCCTTGAATTTTAAAGAGAAACAAATTATGCGTGAGACAATGAAAAGGCATGTATTTTTGGGAAAACTAATGTGTGTAGAGTTATGTATGTGTGTATGCATGAACCCCAACATTCATGCACAACTCAGCACACACACACAACATAAGTTTAACACACAATAAGTTTATATCAAATATCAGTCCTGATATTAATAATATTCCCTAATTCATAATGCCTAAGTTGCCAAAAGCAGATTTTTTTTCAGGTGTTAAATTGCCACTAACCTCCTAAACAAACATTATAAAAATAGTTTATCAGAACAAAATAAATATTACAAATATATTAGTTCACTTCCGAAGTTAATACTTCATATGTAATTCGCCATTATAAATATAATTTGGTCTTAAAAGACGAATAATAGTGAACTCAGGGGTTGGAGGTTTTTCACAGTTAAACCGCCTTTCTGTTTAGATGTGTCCTTATGCCCATGGAGATCTTCAATGCTGTCTTCATCCTAACGTTTAAACGTTCTTGTGAAACTGCTGGAACTCCAACCAAACCTAAACCTCCTCTAGACTGTTTGGTTAGTCTTCTTAAAGGACTCACCACTCAAAAAATAAAGATTCTTTATTGGCATCGATGCTTTAACATTCACGGTAGGGTTGGGCGATGTCTACAAAGTTGGCATCGGACGATGTCTACAGTGAAACATCGCGATGGACGATGACACCGGTGGGGGCGGGCGGGGGGAGGGGTGTGGGGGAAGAGTTAGGGGGTGTGGCCGAAGCGTGAATCTTTATAAGGGAAATCACGATTGGCGCGGCGCGACAAAATACTATAGAACCACTGATACCACTCTATAATAGAGATTTATTATATATAGATCAGTCTATAGAACTCATTATAATCAGTGATGCTGTCTACACTGGATGCGGCGCGTCACAACAAATCCCTGACAGTAAACTGCCGCCGCGTTCTATTTATGACGTGCTGACACAAATTTCAAATGATTTTCAATAGTCGCAGTACATCAAATTTCACTTACGACATAAACAGAGTAAGGAGAAGCATTGTTTAATCCACAGAATCTTTCCATTCAAAAGTTCTTTATAGTGGAAAAAGTTTCTTTAGAGTTTTTTAAAACGTTCTTCACACTAAGAAAAAACCCTTTTGGAACCTTTATTTTCAAGAGTGTAAGGTTGTTGAAGCTGGTCTATTTTGATGGCTTTAAAGAGGTTTTTGGTACTTTACCAGCTGGCCATCCAGTTAAATCCTCTAAACACCAGTTTGACTAGGCTGGGAGACCAGGTAGACCAGCTCAAACCAGCTAAGACCAGCAACCTTCACCTTTAAACTGTTTTCTTTAGCAGGAAAGCAGAAATAATGTCATGTTCCATAACTAAATCTCAGATTGAAGGCAAATGATAGGAAAAAAATCCATTCGGTATGAGGCAACCTGAGGCTTCCTGATGGATGGAATGACTCTTTATATCCCCTGAGTACAATACATAGGTCTCTGTTGATTTATGTCCACTGAGGCAGAAAGTTAGCTTAGTTAGCAAACTGGGAGTAGAAGGCTACTTTGACTCGCTCGATCTGATGACAGAGTTTGATGGCAGGACCGAGCTTTAGGTCCATACATTCCTGGACTGTAGGAAGCGTCAGCAGCAACAGGGCCTGTCCATCAATGTCCTTGAGAAGGAAAAAAGGTGTACAGGTTAGCATAAATATTAGATTTGTTTTACTGGTTTTGCTTGTTCTTGTTTGCTTCAGTCTTGCACACCCTGATTGCAAATGTATGATTCTTAGGTTTGTATCTGTGTGCATTTTCATTTTCATTTGAATTTGTTACGTTTTCTAAGCTGCAGTATAGAACATTAGTAAAGTAAAAAGGGTCAATTATGATTTTAAAGTGCTCTATTATGGATTTTTGAAAATTACCTTTCATGCAGTGTGTAACAGAGCTCTAAGTGAATGAAAACATCCTGCAACGTTTTAAATCTGAAAGTGCACCGTGTATAAAGTTATTGTCTCTCAAAAGAAAGCGTCGACTCTGAATCATTGAAACGAGTCGTTTTTAAAACGAATCCCAAGCCGTTTCATGTTGATGTCAACATGAAACATTAGCATATTGTCCGCCCACTTGTTGGTCTTTTCGCATTGGTCTGAATGAAAATGCAAATTCATTCTTTGCCACTAGGTGCCCTTTTGGAGCAGTAAAAATAGCGGTTTCCCCGGTAACGCTGTACACAAAGCAGCACTGCGCTTACAAACGCCGCTTTATCAGGCATTATGAAATGAAAATGAGATCAATTGGATCAATCACCACAGATGTCATGCAAAGGAGGGGTTTGGAAAAATGAATCGTTAAACAAATCGCTTGGGAGTCGTTGAGCAAATAAGGTAAAAATAAATGCATCGCTTTATCAGGCATTATGAAATGAAAATGAGATCAATTGGATCAATCACCACAGATATCATGCAAAGGAGGGGTTTGGAAAAATGAATCGTTAAACGAATCGCTTGGGAGTCGTTGAGCAAATAAGGTAAAAATAAATGCATATTATAAGACAATGAAAGTGTTTTTTGACCTTGCATGCATGATGTATGTCAGCCTGTTGTCGTCCCAAAACCAAAATATGAACTTTTCATTACCCATAACAGGGGCACTTTAATAAAAAGCAATGCATTCTAGATGCGCTCTGTCACAGATGTCATACTGACTGTACACTGATTAGCCTTTTAATATAGCATGCAATATAAAAATAATGATAATATTTTATAAATGAAAATTATGAAAAATGTAAATTATGAAAATAAAATATATACAGAAATATATTTTATTTAGTTTAATATATAACAAAATAAGAATACTAAAAACATATAATAAACTTTGACAATTTACTCACTGATTTTAATATTTCCTGCAACAATAATAATTATAATAAAAATGTAAAAATAATAAATAACATAAAAACAATCATCAATCTTTGACCATTTTAAATTACAATAAAATAAAATAATATGTATTTTTAGTTTAATTAATTGAAGTCTGCATTATTAAAAAAAATCAATCAGTCACAATCAGCCTTTGAGTATCTGAATTTTAGAAAATAATAAAATAAAAAATAATAATCTTTGACAAAACACTGATTGGCCTTTTAATATATATCCTTCAATATTTTAACATCAATTGTGAAAATAATAAAATTACATAAAAATCACAATCTTTGACAATTTAAAATACAAAAATAAAATAAAAGACTGAACAAATGTTATTTAGCATATTTACAGAAGTCTGCAATATTAAATCTTTCAATCATTTTCAACCGTTAAAATAAAATCTAAAATAATCAATATTTTCTAATCTTTCTTACTGCACTAAGAAATCTGATCATTTTCTTGATAACTTGATTTGAAGTAGGCCTCAAAGAAGGGCCAAATGATAGGTTAGTTAGTGTCCTGTACCTGCTCTTGGAATATCTTTGCTAGAGAGGCACAATCTGTGGATGTGATGAAGTCAACCACATCAGAGACGCTCCATTCCAGAGGATTCCTCTCTAACACCAGACGATCTTGCTCTTCAAAACTCTCAGTCTACATATGCACACAAGCACAGTTCACTTTATCTAATACAATTCAACTCTAGGCATACATTAAAAATTACAGATAATACATTTGGGAAATAATTTATACAAAAGGTCTATGTGGATATTTGACCTTTGTGTGTGTGTTTTTGGCCGTCTGGTTCTGGCTGTAAGAAACAGAGCGTGTGGTTCTTCTGGGAGAGGATCTGTCTGAGGTCTCTGGCTCTGGATGGGTTGCCCTGCGCTGAAGAGCAGCACGGCGTGGTGGTCTTCCTCTCCTCGGGACGTCCTTGAAGGAGTGGGCAGAGGTCTCCTCACGTGGTGAGCTGGAACTTACCTCACTGCCCCACTCCTCAAAATCTTCTTCCTCATCATCATAGTAATAATCACTATCCTATAAAGACACAGGGACAGGGTTACACTGGATCTTAAGGTGCCAGTCACATTTACCATTGCTCGGCTAAATCGTTTGCATAGAAAAAGGCCTATCGGGCAAGTATAAGCAAATATATCTGTGCAGCTTTTAGAGGGAAAATGTTGGAGTGGAAAAAGAAGCATGGATGAATGGTTGAGTAATAGAATGTGATGTGCTTGGTGCAGTTGCACTTATTATAAGTGCAGTATGCCTCGAAAGGAAATTCAAGTTCACACTCGTACGTTGGCAGGCCGTTTTTTTGTTGTGCGCTCTGAGACTGAGTGGATCACTGACAAGTAGCTCTACACTTTTGACTTAAAGGCCCTTTCACACTGGACGCTGGCCATTGGTGGAATCACTTTCGGTCGTAGTGGAAGCGGTTTGTGCAGTTGAAGCCTTGTTTTTACTTCCGCCTGCCTCTTAACGGACGCTGCTTTTTTGACACTTTCTTCACACTTTTTACACTTGCTCACCTTTGTATAATTCTGTGAAACGACAGGGGGGCGACGCGGAGAAATAGTTCTCCAAACCATCAGAAAGCAGCGGTGAGAGGAAGTAGTTTGCAGAGTCGTTTGTCAAACAATCCTTTTGTGAGAAGTTTATGAATAAATGTATTTCTTCACATAAACTGATAATGTTGTGGGTCGTTTTGGAGGATACATGTGAAAATGTGAAAGTACACTACTTAAATCCACACAAATGAATCTAAGATTTGTGTAAAACTCAGTAAACCTGAGATTATGACTTGTGACATTAGAACAAAACATACTGTATGACTTATGATAACATCTGTATAACACTAAATTGAACAATACTGATTATTGATTACAATACTGACACAAACACTGATGAATGGCACAGTACACCACAAAACATCTTCAGCTTTTATTGTTCATCCAAAAAAAAAAAGTTATAGTTTTAAATGATATTTAAATGAATTCTAATTTAAAAATTTATATTTTAGATAAACTTTCTAATTTGAATAAACTTTATATACAACAAAACAAACTTTACATTAAATAAATATAAAACGGGTTTTTTTTAGGTCTTTTTAGTTTTGTAGTTTTGTATTTCCTACAGGGCAGGGGAAGTGAAGAGGTAGGTAAAAATGTTTCTAAGCAGTTTTTTTTGCATTCAGAATTCATAGGGCCCTATTTTGACGATCTAAGCGCATTGCGTTTAGGGCATGTCCGAATCCACTTTTGCTAGTTTAAGGACGGGAAAAATGGTCGGCGGCGGCACACCCGGCGCATTGTCTAAACGGGTTGTCCCTATTCTCTTAATGAGTAATGGGTGTGTTTTGGGCGTAACGTGCAATAAACCAATCAGAGTCTCATCTCCCATCCCCTTTAAAAGCCAGTTGCGCTCCCGCCATGGCGGATTCGCTTAAAATTCACAAGCGAAAAAACTGAACGCTTCTCTAGTGAGAGAACGGATCTGCTTGTGCGCATAATTCTGATACATGCAAAGACTATCCATTATGACATGTAGGCATTTTTATATGTATGTACACAATATTAATCTTTTCCATTTTAATCCTTTAATTTTTCATTTTTAAAAATGTTTGTGTGCTGCTGCGCGTCCCTGTGTGTGTAATAAGCAAAGTGTACGCGCACTATAGGTGCATATTACTAACGCGCTCTTTAAATAACAAAAAAATAAAAATAAAAATATTACACCAGACTTTAGACCAGGTTTTTGTTGGTCTAAATAGCAACGTGCCAACAATGCGCCTGAACACACCTCGTTTTCAGACCAGCATGCCCATGGCCGCACAAATGGGTGCAAATGCATTTGCTATTTAAACAACATGGCGCAGGACGTGAAAATGACAACTGCGTCAGGCTAAAACTAGCAAAAAATACTTGCATCGCGCATGATAGAGCCCATAGTTTTTATGTGACATCACACACTTACATGTGAGAGAAAAATGTACTGCGCCATGGTACAACAGTAATACCCATTCTCTCAAGAAAAAAACTTGTAGTCTTGAGCGCAAATGGAGAAAAACTAACTTGGAAGTTTTTAGAATTGCGTGGAAAAACAGGAACGCAATGCGCAAAGTTTAATAATACATTTATTATTATTAATTTAATAAAGCACGCATCATCAATAAGGTGTAAACTGAATTTGATCTTTTAATATCACTGTTTTTAAGTGATTTCACATTAAACGTTTTAGAATGTACCACTGTTTTTAGTGATTGAAATATTGCGGCGGGTGCTTTACATGGATTGCAAATGGCCAAAACTTGCATTTTGTTCACATATCTTTGTTTTTATTCTTTTGAGAGGTGATCTAAATGTTTTTGGATTGGAACAGATAGAAAATTGACAGGCTTGTGCAGCAGTTCTATGGATGTTTTGCCCTCCAGGACTTCAAGCCAGTCACATGACTGAAAACTATGAATAGGTCCAGACAGATTTCAGCCTATAGAGATACCTACATTGGATGGCCAATTTCACATGTATTTTCAAAATACTGTATTTGTATTTAAATTAGGACTGCACGATTAATCGAATGTGATTGTTATGCACATTTTGATAGTAATGACGGTTCTGTAATCAGCAGGAAATCATCATCACGTGCTTTCAGATGGAGCAGCATTTACTACACAGAGCCATAGTTCACTGACGAGCTACTCAAAAAAATTAAAGACGATTTTATTGCTCGATTCTTAAATCGAAGAAATCGTTCGCGATAAGGACAGCTGTTTGCATAGCTTCTCAATGAACTACAGCTCTGTGAAGTAAATGCTGCTCCATCTGAAAGCATGTGAAAATACCACATTTAATAACATATTTTTACTCCAAACTCACTTCATAACGTCAGTCGAGTGTTTGAAATAAATCCTTCTGTGAGATGATGTGGCTTCTTACACAGAATAAGGCACAACATATTTCATAGTAGTTAAGCAGTGATAAAGGAATTACATTATAAATATACTTTATTTTAATGAAAATTATAATAATAAGAACTCCGATAAACCGTATATTGCCGTAGTCGTGTGTTTATTAGTCACATTAAATCAATGAATGCAGTTGAATCTTCTGTTTATTCAGCTGCAGCGATGCAGGAGTTTCAGCGCGAGAGCGCCCTCTGGCCTTTGGATGGAGATTTACTGCTGATCACAGAACCGTGCTTTACTGAAAGATACGCATGACAATCGCAGCTTCTGTCGAATCGCGATCTCGATTCCATTTCGATTTATCGTGCAGCCCTAATTTAAATAAATTTTTCCACACAGTATTTTGTATTTTTATTTTCATGCATTAATGGCCATCTCTGTATATGCGTTTGCATTTGCTTACTTGCTAAGAGTATGTTTCAGTAGTTACAAGTGAGTTGCAAGTGAATGTTTCTGAGTGTGTTTTTGTCTGGGTTCATGTGGTTTGGCAAACCTGAGCTGACTCTGTGGTTTGGTATCCTACAATGGAAGTGCGCCGTTTCTTCTGGACAAAGATGGCTTTGCGTTTCTTCCGCCGTCGTGCTG